AATCACAATGCCCGATCAGTACTGTGAGGTGCTCTCCAATTCCGCCACCATTTCTGCTTGATGGTGATGGTTGAATGACGACTGTTCATGATTCTACTTGTTTCATATTCAGTGTTTCAAATGTTCAAATGGGGCACTTGCAATTTTTGCGATTCGCGCGAATCGCGCGACGGATCGCGGACTATGACACCAGCCTTACTACTGCTGCACCTTTTGACCAGTTCTCTTGGTTCCTCCTTTACTGGCATCTTTCATTTTCGGCTACAGCCGAAGTGGTGTACTCGCTGCTTTTGAACTATCGTGCCAATTGATACAGCTACCACAGAAGGGATCTCAGCGATACGCTAAGCAAGATGCTAGCTGTAGGCTATCGCTCGATAGTAGGGGCTGGGCCACACCCACCAATGTACGGCCCATGGAGACCAGTGTTGACCGTCACGTTCGTTATTTTCCAAGAATTTCGTTACCCTCCCCCCCCTTTTAGGGTTCTCGATGCGACTCTCTTAATCAACATCAATCTTAGGAGGCGCCCGTTGCACGTCACCCTCAACACAACCCATCCTCCCTATTTGTCTTGCTTCTGCAGAGATTGATTCTGAGACCAGCTAGTACATCCCGACTCCGCCCATTTTCTTCCCCTTCTAAATAGCCATCGACGCGCATGAAGTTTTCTAAAAACCCGTCAAAAACCAAGAGAGCGTCCCCTTCCGCTTTCCCAATGGACCTAATCAATATAATAGTCGAAAGCGTCTCTAAAACAATAAATAAGACCCCTCATTCCGAAGGAATCGAAACGACATTGGCCCTGAATGACGATCCAGCTTCTAGCCTAACAAGATTACCTGCTTATATTCCAAATGCAGGTCATTGATCCGGACTACTACGAGTTCGAAGCGCATCTTCTTCGATGACGCCTTTGAGACCGACGAAACTGGCAATGCGGTGATTAACAAATTCGTCAAGCAAATCGTCGGTGTAGTCGATCAAGCTGCAAGGTGTGCTTCCCCATGTTCTATGCCCTTTAGAATTTTCTGTCTAAACCCGTTTCAGCGCTGTTCATCAGACTCAAATGAGACTGAAACCGCCCAAGAAGGTCACTACACCCTATGGAGGCAGACTGCAGTACATTCTTCCCGGCAAGAACAAGCTCACTGTTCATCTCAAAGACAAAAATAAGATTCGACATAGAAAGAGATGGAGCCAGGTGAGAGTCATTCATCGAAAAATGAAGGGATTCCAAGTGATAATTTTCTTTGTACAGGTGATGTACCTGTATTACCTGCTTGGCTACAGACTCATGACCAAGGTAGATGAACAAGCCAGGAAGGTGATTATTTATTTATTACAAAAGAAGTTTTACGCAATCTTATTTTGGGATTTCTGAATGTGTTCTTTGGCCCTCTTTGTTCAAACACAATTGCAGGAGAATAATTTCCGAGAATACTTTCATTCTAACGCTTGATGGTGATGTCGACTTTACTCCGCATTGTGTGAATCTGTTGGTGGACTTGATGAAGAAGAACAAGAGGCTTGGTGCAGCGTGCGGTCGAATTCACCCGAGAGGATCAGGACTTCATGGTTAGCATGCATTTTTTGGCATTCTTTATGACTAACAAAAACTCCCTAATATCTTGATTGGCAAACAACTCCCTGAAAATTAAGACCCAAGGCGTCGGGGCGATTAGTACAAAAGCATGAAGGTCTCAGCGTTGGTTATCTCCTTTGGGATACGCCACGTATTCTACTTCGAGTGAAAATCGCAATTCACATTGACAAACATGGACATCGAAACATTGACATCGGCTTGCCTCCAACCCACACAATGGGTTTGAAGGCAATGTCAATGTTTTATCCGTTCGGACAGTTCCAGCATCAGCCATCTTAACCCCAAGAGGTGCATGGCTCGGTTGGGCTGGGTGTCCATCAAAGATCGAAACTTCGAACCTCACCTCCTGATTGGCACTACATGCCACTATACCACGCCACCTACTACATACACCATTTTCGCTTACGCGAATGATGATTGCCTTCTTTACCGCGGGTGAAATCACGGCATTTAATCGCGCTTGCCTAGTGCTGCCTTATTAGGAACTGTTTCGTTCGATAATGACTACTAGATATCTGAAAGGAAGAGGAGGGGGAGAGGGGGGGTGGAAGTGTAAATCGTTTGTATCCCAACTATGAATCGCTCTTATAATAAGAGGCACGAGGTCACAATTGAGACTGTGATTACATGCAGCTGCTATTGTCATACTTATTCAATCTTTTGCCACGCTTCGAACAAGTTCCCCAATCTGCAGCTCTTCAAACCTCAGAATTGTATAATAGACAGCTATTCATGGTTATTGTAAGGCAGTACTTCTTTTCGTTCACACTCTAAATCGCCAAAAAAGCCGGACGCTGTCTGCAGTATATGGCAGCAGAGCCCATGTCGCAAGCACATTTTGTGTCGTCATTCAGATGTCCTAGTGATTAGCCACAGCAGTGCGCGATCGTGAGCTGTGAACTCGGCTCTACTTGGAGCTTGTAAATAGTACGTCTGCTCAGATTGAAGAGCGCGCATCTTTGGTTTTCAGTTGAATAACGCGCGCGGCTGCGTCACGATCTCGTGCACGAGCTACCAGCAAATTACATAAGTAGCTACTTGGATGAAGTGAAGACGCGTTACGCGTACATTTGGGGAAGCGTTCAGTTCCATCATTAACTTCAAACTAATAGTTGGGACTGTCTTTCAGGTATGGTATCAAAAATTCGAGTATGCTATTGGTCATTGGCTGCAGAAGGCCACAGAGCACATGATTGGATGTGTGATGTGCTCGCCGGGTTGCTTCTCCCTCTTCAGAAGTTACGCTCTGATGGATGATAACGTAACGAGAAAGTGAGTACGGTAGCCTCCACATTTAATTAAATATTTACGTAAATACGATATTTACAGATACGCTTCTAAATCAGAGGAACCGTTGGACTACATACAGTACGATCAAGGAGAAGACAGATGGCTGTGCACCCTTCTGTTACAGCGAGGCTACAGGTACATCATGATCATTCCGCAAGCAAAATCGCTGCCTAATCGCCCTAATTAATTAAGGGTAGAGTACTGCGCGGCTTCCGATGCGCTCACATTTGCTCCGGAAGGATTCAACGAATTCTTCAATCAGAGAAGGCGTTGGATCCCGTCGACCATTGCGAATATCATCGACCTGCTGAAAGACTATAAGAACGTCGTCCGGGTGAACGAGAGCATTTCAATATGGTGTGTCCTCATCGGTCCGTCCTTAACATCCTTTCCTGGAGCCAATTTTGAAACTGCCCTGATTTAGGTACATCCTTTATCAAATGGTTATGTTAGTGTCATCGATTCTTGGACCGGGTACGATCTTCTTGATGGTGGTTGGAGCGATTTCGATCTCGTTCAATATCGATACCACGTGGAGTCTA